TGATGAGGATGGTGCCAGTGAGGCTGCCAGTTTGGAGGAGCCCAAAGAAGAAGATCAAGGTGAGGGATATCTGTCAGAGATGGATAACGAACCCCCTGTGAGTGAGAGCGACGATGGCTTCAGTGTCCACAACGCACCATTACAGTCTCACACACTAGCTGACTCCATCCCCAGCAGCCCAGCCTCCTCGCAGTTGTGAGTATCAGTGAAGCTCTGTGTCACACAGGTGCAAATCCCAGGCTGTTTCCTGGGGGGAGTGTAGGATTCTCATTTCTGTTTTGCTCAGTGGATGCAGTGGGGAAATTTGTTGATGATTTGTCTGGCACTAGATTGTCCTTACTCAGAAGTGCAGGTGTTCATACAATGCTGTAGTGCCAGGTCCCATTTTTCATCTCTCTCTCCAGCTTGGTTTACTGTAAGCATGCCAAAGGCAAAATGAACTGTAAGGTTTCTACTCGAAGACAGTATGGAGATTCACAAAGGAAATCATACCGTTTTTTCTCAGCTCAGTGTGCAGTGAGGATCAGGAAGCAATACAGGCTCAGAAGATCTGGAAGAAAGCCATCATGCTGGTTTGGAGAGCAGCAGCTAATCACAGGTGAGTTTGATGTCTTGAGAACTGGCAGAAAGAAGTGACTAATATCAGGCAAGCCTGTCCTTTCCCAACTCTGTGGCTTACCTGCCTTGATACAGGGTGAATCATACTGTTAGTGATAGCAGGCAAATAAACACGAGAGCATGACACAAGTATTTGAGAATTGTTCTTCTATTGGCAAGGACAGGGCATTCAGTGGAGTCTTTCTCCCTTTAGGTATGCCAATGTCTTCCTGCAGCCTGTGACTGATGATATAGCACCAGGCTACCACAGCATTGTGCAGAGGTGAGTCTCAGCATTCTTATGTCACGAAAACTCTGGTGTATTTGTGTAAGAATTTCAAGCAGGAAAAGTCTAGATTTCATCTGTTGTTCAGACTGCAAAACTTGGAAAATACTTTTCTTCTGACATCATTCAATTTCCCCAAGAAAAAGAGTCATCTTCAGTAATGTATACAAGTCTGTACGCAGCCCAACCCTTGAATGAAGTACAGACTTGACCAGAATGCTTTTTATCAGTGAATTGGTATGTGACTGTCTCTGTTTGTGTCCAAGGGTTGAATTTAAGGTTTGACATTCCAAAGACCTGGGTTCCTTGATCAGCTCTTTTATTGTCTCAGAAAGTCCAGATTCTGGGAGAGTTACCAAAATACACCTAAACAGTCCAGTGGCTCTGGCTCCCTTATGTCGCCCAGGGTGCCTGGAGAAGGCAAATGCCTCTCTTGAGGCAGCTGTTCTGCATTGTTTCCATTCCTGTTAACTGCTGAGCAGCCTGTGTCTCCTGATCTGAGGCCTTGAACTCAGGAATGCAGCCTATGTGGAGAACATATTCTGCTAAATTAAATAGATGGTCTTATTAGATATGTCGTAGTCCTTAGATTGTTTGCAAACGAGAAGGGAGAGAGTTACATCTTTGTGTTGCTGTTTTGAACGTATTTCATAGGCCAATGGATTTATCTACCATCAAGAAGAACATCGAGAACGGGCTGATACGAACCACAGCTGAGTTCCAGCGTGATATTATGCTGATGTTTCAAAATGCAGTTATGTACAATAGCTCTGACCATGACGTGTACCATATGGCTGTGGAGATGCAGCGAGATGTCCTGGAGCAGATCCAGGTAAAGTACTGAGCTGAGGCTGTTTCAGAACAGAGTGTCTGCATTGCTTCACAGGTACAGGAGAGACTTCTGGAAGTGAAAACAAAGTTTCTCTCACAGTGTCTTCAAATGAAGTCCCATCTATGCCTGCTTGTACCAGCTTAGGTGTTTGTGGTGAACTGGATTGTTAAAACAAACACAGCAAAATGTTTGGTTTAGCCCAGGCTAATTTCAAACCTAATTTCCTTTGGAGGTGCACATATGCTTAGGCCAGCAAGAACTGGGGTGTGGTTCAGGAACAGAAATAAGCAGCGAGATCGGTGAATGACAACTGCTGCTTTTGGTGACTGTCAGTCTGGGCTGGCTTGAGGCATATACAAAACTGTCTGAGAATATGTATCACTTAGAATTTCTTCTGAAGTGGAAAGTCCCAGCTGCCTGGGCTGTCATAGTTTGAAATGGATTTTTGTAGTCCCTCCGGACTCGTGGCTTCTGAGGTGAATGGGGGAACTTATTCTGAGTAGCAAACAAGGAACTGAAACTGTCTCTGACCCAATCGTTCCCAGCCCTGTGGTTTGTGATTAGCTGACAAGCTCTAACTGAGCTTGTTTTGCTTGAGAATCTTAACAGAGCGTGGTTTTCCTGCAGCAATTTCTGGCTACACAACTGATCATGCAAACATCAGAGTCAGGGATCAGCGCAAAGAGCCTGCGTGGGCGCGACTCCACTCGCAAGCAAGATGCTTCAGAGAAGGTGAGAATGCTGCACCCTGCACAAGGGTGGCTGGTGTCTTTTGGAGAATCTTGAGATACTGCACAAAGTTCCAGTACCAAAGGTGTGCAGAATGTGCTTTTAGATTGAAATAGCTCCTGCATCTTCATGTGAACAATCGATCGTTATCATTTTTCTTTAACTAAGTCCATTGATTAGACTTCAGCTCTGGAGCTGTACATCAACCCCAGAATGGGTCTGAGAATCATGAGTTATTTCTGCAACCCCTCTGTTTCTTTCCATGATTTCGAGAGCAAGTGATGAAAAGTGTTGTGAAATGAGTAGAATTTTGGAGGAGGTGTGGTATGGCAGGAAGGTGTAACAGATTGAAGACTAGCCTCTGCCATGTTCTTCACTTCCAAGTCAGGTTTTCAGAACCAGAGAGTTACTTGAGTGTGGTTTGCTGTTTAAAACACACCATGGAACTTTCCACTTCCACACTGATCTGAGATACCCAGGCTTGATTACATGACCTCACCTGCTCTCAGCTGGTACACATAACATTGTGACAGCAAGGATTCCCTGCTTAGCTCAAGTAGAGAGAGTGGCAGACTGCAGAGTGCAGCTGTTCTTTTGGTGGTACGGGCCTTGCCATAACTGGTGAGGGAATAAATATCCCTTTCCTAGCATTCTTGCTCTTGCCTTATTCCTCTTCTGTGCATTTTTGTGTTCCTGCCATGTAAGACTGAAGCCATGCGGGAAGGGGAGTGGGGCACATGTTTCTCCATGCTCACGTGTGGGCTTATTGCTTCTGTGTGGTGTGTGCATTTCCCTATCTGATATCTGATAAATCCTTCTGTTTGGCCTTTTAACAGGACAGTGTCCCAATGGGCTCTCCTGCCTTCCTTCTCTCTCTCTTTGTAAGTATTGAAAGGCTCCAGCAGGTACTGCAGTACTGCTGTCATTGTCCTCTGCTCCTTGTCTGGGTGATCACTGCACTGTCACAGCGTCCTCTGCATTACAACAACATGTGTTTAACTTTGGGTCTGTACAACCATGAACTGTAGAGACTAATCGTTTCAGATCCTTCCTCTTGGTTTGGGTGAGTGGGTGGGTCTTCAGTCCTTCTTCTGGTTCCAAGTGTTCTTATTTTGTCATCTGCCTTGCTGTTTTCCTCAACTGCTCTCCTGCTTTCTTTCCATGTAAATGGGAAGACACACCAAATAATGCATTACTATAGTTCTGACATCTCTCACGCTTACACAGCTGCCTCTTCTTCACATTCAAGGCTATACAAAGGGCCTGGGGAAAGTGAGGATTCAGCTGCATTCTCTTTGTTGTTCATGGACCAGAAAACAAATAACAAACTCCACAGAAATACCTTGCTCTTTGCCCATGGTAATCTGGAAGTGTTTGCAAAGTGTTCCCGAGCCTCTGAGTTGCAGGGAGGAGAGAGGGGAGGAAGATGGAGAGTTTATTTTTTCTCTCGCATATATCTAAAGACAGAGGAGTACTCCAGGAGAGTCAGCATGTCAGCCAGAGGGAGAGGGCAGCGGATCAAAGGAAGCTCTCAGCTCGCCTTCTGCTCATGGAAAGGAGCTGTACGGAGAAGCTAGGGAGCTAGTGCCAGGGTCACTCAACTGGAGGAGCACTTCCTGTAGGGATCAGCAGCTGATAAGGTAGGTTAGTCAGCAATTTTTTCTTTCCATCTTAAGAGCCGAGCTAGAATCTATCACTTTGGAGAAAGCCTGCACACTGCAGGCTCCAAAAGCATCTGTCTGGGTGAGAACCTTTTTGCCCATCTCTGTTCTGGCCACTGCTAATGCGCAGAGATGCTGCAAATCCCAGCACCCGTGCTGTATCCAGAATGAATTCTAGGTAGGTCTGCAAGCAGGCCTCCCCAGGCCTTCTTAGCAGAGCTTCCCTTTTTCTCCTGTTTGGAAGGCATGAAAAGTTGTTGCCAGATGCACAATTTCTTACCTCCGTACGCTGGAGGAAATGTTTTGTGTCTAAGGTTGCATAACTGGTTTCTGCTAACGCCAGTCTTTTTGTTTGCCTTGTGACTTAGGATGGAGGCACCAGAGGGCGTCGCTGTGCCATTGAGGCAGACATGAAGATGAAGAAATGACGCCAGAGAAAGAGGGGAAAACCCAGCACCTAACATCCAGAGCTGGAGTGCAAGCAAGATGCTGTTAAAGCTGTTAGAGGCAGAAGAGCTGCAGGTCCATTTCTGGGACCTGTTCCACCTTCTTGGCTTGAGTCTGGGAAGCGACATCTCATCAGAATGTGTTACCCAAAGAAACTTCCTTGGAGGGGAAGACTGGCCCCCCTGCCTGTTCTAGGGCAGTCGTCTTGGGCTTCATCAGTGTTCTGGTGTTAGCTAGCAACTGGTGGCTCGTATGTACTGTAATGTGAAGTGTACAGATTTCTACTAGTGATGTGTAAATGTGTATGTATATTAAAGCCTGGGGAAAAAAAAATATCCAGTATACAGTGTTCAGTTTTCTGAGCATCACAGCTCCCTTCGACGGGGAGCCCTGCTTTTGTACAAATGTGCGTACAGACCTCGAGTTCCTGCAAATACAGCTCTCTTCCAGTTACCCTTTAAAAGCTCTGCAGTGCTTTGATGTTAGAGGCAGTACATTAATAATTAGAATGCTGCATGGTCTTTGGATGGAGGGGAAGGTTTGCTGCCTGGGCGTAAGGATATGGCACTCTTGTTATGACATGGGACATCTGACCATGGAAAGTGGAAATGCTGCAATCTCACTGGAGCTTTCCTTAAGAGACCAGTATATTGAATGCCATGTTATTTGCCTAGAAATTTGAAAAGAGTGTATGAGTTGTGGTGAAAATCTGTTTCTCACAGCTGTAGGGATGCCTGTATCTGGTTTCACAGCAGAAACTTTTAACTGTTTTTTTTTTCAGCTGGATATTACAGTTCTTAGCAACGTAGATGACTGAGTTTAAACTCCTGACTTCTGATTTTCTGCTAACTTCTGTGCAATTTTTTGCCCGTTTACATTTACAGGAGAAAAGAATGACAACAAAAAAATCTCATGGTCCTGATGTTTGCAGCAGCTCAGAGGTGTCTGTACGTGTGTGTGTTTGCATGTGTGCAGGACTCAGCTTTCTGTCACACAAGTTGCAGGAAGCAGTCATTACAGTTAATGTAGAGAGATTGTTAGCTTAACTAATGAGAGGTTTTGACTTTCCCAAGTTTTGTGTTGAAGTTTGTTGTGCCTGCTGTGTTGTGTGCCATGCTTGATTAATGTAAGGTGTATTTCCACCAAGGGTCGCTTTGTACTTGGTGCTAGAAACGTACAGTCCTTTACTTACTGATTCATTGTCCCTCACTGCTGAACTTGGGAACAGATTTCTCATTCGAATTTTTATGGCCTCCATCTCTAGAGATTCTCATGGCACAAAAAGTCCGAGGGTTCTCTTACTTTTTGATATTTTGTGGAATAGTGTAAGCTGGAAAAGATTTCTGAGGATCATCTAGTCCAACCTGCTGCTCAGAGCAGGGCCTGCTTGAAAGCTAGAGCAGATTGCTCGGAGCCTTGTCAAGTTCTGAAAATCTGCAAGGATGCAGATTTCATCATCTTTTTGGACAGCTTGTTTCAGTGCTTACCCACCCCCATGGAGTAAACATAGGCTGAATTTCCCTGATGCAGCTTGTCATCACTGCCTCCTCTCTTTTCGACGCTGGCCGCTGAGAAGAGTCTGGCTCTGTCTCCTCTGTAGCACCTCTGCCTCTGTTTGTTTGTGTTGGACAATGGAAATTCCAGCACGTGGGAGGACTTCTGTCATGCCCACTGGTAACTTGCTTTCATTGTGGAAAGTTGCTCTTCATTCTTACCCTTGGTTTCTTCCTTTAACCATTAGAGGATTTTTCCTACTCAGAGAACCCGTGACATTCTAATAGCCTGTAATGATGTTGTTTAATAACTTCAAAAATCTAAAATGCAGCTTTCCCCTCTATAGCCCTGCTGCCTCCTTCCTAATTCACCTTCTCATGCTCTGACTCCTCATTTCGTACTTTGCAATGTTTTGTACTAATCTAAACACAAAGCCCATGCTGCATCTCCCTAATCCACCTTCCTGCAGACAGAAATAACAACTGCTCTTTTGTTTCTCTAGTGCTATGGCTAATTCAAACTGCAAGCTACAATGTATAGGTTTGGTCACATTATATTTAAGCTTCTTAGGGACTCACGAGTCCAAGTCATTCTGTGGCTTACTCCCTCCCTCCAACTGTTCTAAAACCTCCCCTGTTGACATTTTAATTAGAAATAGTCTCTATCTCAAAAGAAAGTCTCTCTGCAACTTCTGTGATCTCCTCTGTGGCAACTGCTGATAATTACGTTTAATGCAGGTTTTCCACCTGACCCTGTTTTCCCACTGAGGTGTTTGGCACTGATGGTGCATCACCCCCACTGATCATCTGGCAGCTTTCTGCCTCTGATGTTTGTTGTTGTTTGCTTTTATGTCTTCAGCAAATTGTTGTCTTTTTTTTCCTTTCCTTTTTCATTTGCTGGAGAGCAGGCTTTTATCATTTTCCTTGTTTTGACACGTAAATCCCTTTCAAAGTCCATCTTCTTTAAAACTAACAGCTTTTCCTTACATCAGCAGGCGTTGCGCAGTCTGATCTCTGCAAAGTGAACTAAAACTTTCCCGTTTGATAACGATTCCCTGTTGGCAACTTATGTAAAGTCCGCAAGGCAGTCCTTAATTAGAGGTTGAATTCCCTATCTTTCATCCCTTATTTTTGTACCAAACCGGTGTGGGACTAAGCAGGCTGTAATTCACTCATCCCGCTTGTCTCGCACCAATGCTGCTGTTCTGCTCTCTGGCATCTTGAGTCTTCCAAGATTTAGTGGAGCTGAACATAAGGCCGAAGATGTTGTTAATCAGTGCTTATGCCCAAGTTACCCAGGCTTCCTGGTTTTAGATGGTTATCCCTCTGGACTGGAGTACAGAAAGATGATCACAAGCAATTGGATTACCCTAGCCTAAGGCTTTTCTGTTCCTTGGCAGAGCTGTGGTGACTGGTTATGCGTGTGCAGCCTGCTCTGCCCATGGTGCAGTGCTTTGGGCACTGGTAGTCGTCAGATGAAATCACAGTTTGCCCAACTCCTTTAGCTGGAAGCTGAGAGCAGGTAATGTTATCTCCTGCCTCATCAAATGTTATCTGCTCCTGCTGAAGTCAACTTTGAAATAGGTTTCGGAAGGGAGGCCAGTGAGATGCCAGCTCTCACTGTAAGTGCATAAAAGAAAAACTAATATGCTCATCCCAAACCCATTGGATTCTTTATTTCTCCCAGTTATGCACCGTAGGCTGCATTTGCTGCTGTGGTAGCAGTCTTGAGAATGCAAAAGGAAGTCAGTGAGAAATGTGCTTGTTCAAGACCCTGGAAAGATTAGGTTGTACATAATTAACTGAAAACTCTGAAGAGGTTGCTAATGAATGTGTAGAATTCTCCATGGCTTTCTCATCCAGGTAGCTGAGTTCACTGGCAAGATACAGATTTTTTTAAGAGCCATTTACTGTTGTTAGGGTGATTCTGCAGGTTCCCCTGCAGAGAAGAGACTGCAGAGAAAGCATGTTGGACTCATACTCTGGAAGAGGCTTAGGCATGGATTAATGAGTGGAGATGAAAGGAATGGTTTCTTCCATCTTACAAGAATGCTAACTTTATGAAACATGCAGAACTGATCCGTCAGTGGATGAGTGTGTTTGGTTCCAGTTCTGGCTCAGGTACACCAGTGCTGTTAAATCACGTCCGTCGTTTTCAACACAAAGGTTCTGTGGTGTTTGCAATAAGTTGTTTCCAACGTAAAAAGTTCTTATGGTACAGCGAGGGAACTTCCAGTGAGTGGCTGAGCCTTGGAGTCACCGCTGGCTCACAGCTGTCAGCAGCAATGACTTGGTTTTGAACTTGCTGCTGCCTGTCATCGGTGCCTAAACGTGTAGCATCAGACAAAGCCAAATGCTCCAAAGTAGCTTAGCATCCCCTGAGCACCAGCCAGGGGAGAGCACAGCAAAAGCACTGGAAAATCATAATTCGCTTGCTCTGAAATGTCAGTTTGTGCTGCAGAGCTACAGCCCTGCTGTGTGCTGTTAAGTGTGGGCTTAGGAGAAGGCTGCTTGCCTCGTGAAGTTCTTGCTATGTTTTGGCTCTCTGAGTAAGTCAGGAAATGAACTGGGCTTTGTAGTTCTGGATCAGGGTACAAAGAAATTGCTGTTTCTCTCTTTGTGTTTGTTTGCAGATGGGCCATCCCTGGGTGTGGTGCAGTTCTGAGTCGGAGTCAGAGGACAGTGACTTGCAGTCTCTTCTCAGCTGGCATTCAAGTTTGGATCTGGAGGTGGGAAACTGGAGGGATACTGAAGAGGTGGCTATAGGGAAGCCAGAGGAAAGCAGCCAAGAGACAGACAGCAGGCTGGAGTTCAGTGATTCTCTCTGGGAGGAGGATGATAGTGAAGACTTCCAAAAGGCAGAGAGGCAATATGAAGATGACAGTCTTCTCGAGTTCTTCTCAGAGGTACGGCTGTTTGGATGACAGCAAAGTGGGCTGCATAGTTCTGGCCTTGAAATAATAGAGTTTTCAGTCTCTCCACCTTCTGACAACGGAAATATTTTGGGGGAAACGCAGGTGCCCAGAGTTAATTTGCTCCCTATTCCAAGCCCAGTCCTTGCTCTCGTTTAAAACTGGCACAGCAGCCAAGCAGCTGCTTTGCCAAAACACAGCTCACCCTAAAGCACAGAGATGTCACTGAGCTGAAACTGAAATAACAATACAGGGCTTCATCAGAAGATTTTGCAAGGATTCCTAAAAATGGAAAGAAGTGAGTGAGTGAAAGCAAAAATAGCATTTGTGCTGCTTATTTTTTCTTCCCTTTGCCTTCACAATTTGAAGCAATAAATCTCTGCATTACAGATAACCCAGTTGCTGGAACCTCTCCGCGTCAGCTGCACAGATTCAGCAGAGACTCTATGGGATTGTTCTGGCTCTGGGAAGCAGGATGATGGGGAAGATCTAAGATGCCAGGAAGAGACCACCAGGACAGTTGTCTCAAGAGCAGAGGAAAGTCAGCCACGTGTCCTGGCAGAAGATGAAAAAGAACACTTCCCAGGAAGAGAGGTAGGAGAGAGGTGGTCCTAAGAGAGGTGAGGTGGTGAAGGAAATGATCTCTAGCAGAGCTGGGAAAGTCCCATGTTCCAGCTGGGGAGAGAGCAACGCAGAAGAGGAGACAGCAGGGAGGTGAATGCAAAGGAAATGTATGAGGGGAAGGATGGTTTTTGTGTATGGATGTGCATCTTTATGAACAGGAAGCTTGTTACAGATCAAACCCTCAGATGTGAGTTGGAGGAATTGCTCCTTGGCAATACAAAGGTGACTCATGAGAGCTGGCAGTCTGCTCTCAGGTTTAATGCAAGACTGGAATACTTGGTTTGTTCTAATTACTGTGTTATGCAGCACACAGCTTGGCTGGTTTCAGGCCCACGTGGATGTACAAGCAATACCAACAACCATCTGCCCCAGGAGACCGTCATGTCTTGGAAGCAGGCACTGTCTAGCCTGTGTTTGCACTAATCCTGTGTCTGGGGGACACTCAGCTCTCACCAGTCTGCGAGGTGTTGCTGGAACAAGCTATAATATCACAGCAGTGGAAGAACAGTGCCTGGTTTTTCAATCCAGTGCTCGGTTTGTTGCCTTGCAAACTTAGACACTGGAGGCAGAAATGATTTCCAGGGTTGTTCTGTGATTCTGTAGCAAGGGACTTCATTTAATGGGGAAGTACTGGTGATAGGTGGATGGTTGGATTAGATGATGTGGGAGATGTTTTCCAACCTTGGTTCTCTAAGGGTTTCACATTTCACCTGTTAAGCCTGAACAGGGTTATTCTGAGCAGTTCCCTTGTGGTCTGCCCAGCGGTCAAAGCCATACATAGCAGTGTCTGTGTTCTTTCTGAGGTGTCTGGTCTATGCTTCAGATCTCATGTTAGGCAATTCTCAAGAGTCCCACTTCTGGACTCCAGAAGTGTCTTTTCCTGCATCTCCTTTTCCATTTTATTGGAAAATCACTGTGCCAACAGCACAATTCTCCTTCCTGGCTGAGTCTATTCTCTGTCATTTTCATGTGGGAGTTTTTGAGGAAACAACCCTGTTGTACTCTTGGGGATCCTGTTTTCTGTGTCTTGAGGTTTAACAAGCCTGAGGCAGTCTTACCTCAGCTCCTGATTGCCCTCTGTATATCCACAACTCTTCCCAGAAAAGAAGACAGACACACCTCTGGGCACCAGTCATCCCCACAGTGTTTGTGTTAGCTGGAGGTGGTTGTGATCCAAGAGATCAAACCCAGCTGTTACTGGAGTCTTGGCCAGCACAACGAAGGTCTGAATAAGGTCAAACATCATCTTCTAGAATAATACAGAGAGACGTAGCTCCCGTCTGAGGTTGGATGCTGTAGGAGCATATGCAGCAGGCTGATTTCTGCTTAAGGGATTCAAGTGGTGAGCTGCCATTTTAACCAGATCTCCATTTTCCTCTGTGCTCTGCAGGACAAGACTCAAGAGGCACCTGGAGAAAAAACTCTGTGTGAACCAGATTCACAGGAGATTAACCAAGCCCAGGATCAAGACGATAGCGACTGCGCTTCTGCAGACCCCACGTTGGGCTCCACAAGCCCTGCCAACCCGCAGCTGTAAGTCTGTCTGCACTCCTGCAGGTGTACCAGAACAATTGTTTCCTTTGATTCACATCAAAAGATGTATATGGCACAGGTCACCTCCAGGAAGGTGAGATACCCATGGAGAGCAGGAGGGAAGGAGCTAACTTGTACTGTCTCTATGGGTCTGCCAGTATTTTTTAGCACTTACCCCAAAAGTAAGTAATAAGAGTAGTGGATAAATAAGGTTAACTGGGAAATACATGTTTCTTCAAGGCAGCTAGGCTTTGTTTAAGCTTGGCGTTGTGCTTTATTAGGTAATGTCCAGTCCAGCTCTTAAGAGAGGCATTACCTTTAAGCAAGCACAGGCTTGTCAGTCACACATGGGCTTTACCACTTGTATGATTACCTGGGCTGTCTTTAGAAGGAATACCATAATTTCATGGGATAGGAATCTGAGTTTAAAAACGAGCTTCAGAGTAGTGTGAGCTTTTCTGTCCAGCTTGTCCCTTAGAGCTGCTCAGCTCTATCTTTGTTCCAGTGTGCCACCCTGCATCTTCCTGCATTCTGGATGCTTAGTTGTATGTTCAGATGCAGAATACTTCCACCATTGCTTTGTGTAGCTAAAGAAAAAAGATCTCTGGGCTTTATCCATCTGGATGTGGTGGGTGCACCAATTCATGCTTTGTCTCAAGTGTAACAATCTGGCATTATATACCCTCCACAGGATGCAGTTGAGCTGGGATAACCCCATGCAGCATTCTCATTTCAAAAGAACTGTCCTGTCCATCTGGAAGATGATAGCCAGTCATAGGTATGTAGGGGCAAAGGGTCAAATTGACATTATATTATGTGCCAGATCCTATGTCACCTTGTCCTCCCTTCCACAACAGACACCACAGGATGGTGTGTCTCTACATGGCTTTGCTTCTGGCTGTTCTTGCAACAAGAACAGCTGTGTGCTGCGAAGATTGAGAGAACACTGCATACTTATTTCCTCTGTGTAACATGCCAGAGTCCAAGTGTTGCTTCCTACACAGCTGGCAAAGACAGCTTCAGCAAGGGGCTCAGCCTCCTCCCATGCCTGGCTGTGCCAGCTGCTGAACAGCAGAAGCTGCTGATGGGCTGTGGCCCTCATGGCCATCAGTAGGAGACAAGCATTGGTCCTGCTGCCACGTTGTCTTTGGCCCCTGCTCAGGGGCAGACAGAGGTCATTCTTTGTGCTTGTCCTTGTAGATGCAGTGGCCCGTTCCTGAAGGCAGTGTCAGACAAACAAGCTCCTGGATACAGTGAGGTGGTGAAGAGGTAAGTTTGTGCAAGAACTATTCACTACCTGATTTCTCTGTTTTCTCCGCCTTCCTCTGGCACCCAACAACTGGTTCGGGTCACCCCTGGTTCCAAAACACTAATGGGACTGTTTCCTTCCTTCTGTCCCACAGAGTCTGGCTGCCATCAGCATCTCCCACTGACTGACTTCTGTTATCAAAACTCCCTTCCAGGTGACCAGGGCCTGGAAGTCTGCAGTGACCATGGTGCTGACATGCATTGTGCCTGCCCTTTGCTGGCCTTGCATGGACTGATGTACTGCAGTTCAGCTCTGCAGCTGTGCCCCCTGCCTGAGCTGGGGATTCAGCCTCTGTAGCCCAGCAGTTTCCATGTTGGAAACCTGCGTCTCTGTCAGTATCCACTCTGCTTTCTCCCCAGATGTAGTCTCAGTGGAGAAGTAGGTTATAAGAATATCTCCCAGATAGATTAAGGGCATTTTTCAGAGCTGAATCATGTTCTATTCTGGTCACAGTCATCCTCTCTGCAGCCATTCATTTTCTCATTGTGTCAAAATAAGGGAAGTCATATTTATTCCCCGTCACGTTCCCCTATCAGCGGTGCTATTTTGGCTAGTGGCACCATTTGATTTTAAGGGGTTTTAATAGATCCCTATTTTAGCAACTTTTCTTTCTCCTCCAAGACCTGGGCTGACTTCATGAGGACTAATGGGATCGCTCTTGAATTCCCTGCAGCTCCTCATGACATTTGTTAGACGTGGCAGCCGATGGCCTGGATGACAAGGACCACGCTGGCTGAACTTTGTCTAACTGAAATGAAACAAACGCTTCTCACTGCCCCACGTAGCCCCAGGCGCTAAAACTGATTGCAGAGAGCCGTGCCTTAGGGCCACGACGCAGAGGGCCTTCAGCTCTCCTTCCATGTCCTTCCTGCAGGCCCATGGACCTGACCAGCATCAAGAGGGGTCTGGCCAAGGGCCACATCCGTTCCTTGGCGCAATTCCAGTGCAGCCTGATGCTCATGTTCCAGAACGCCATCATGTATAACGCCGCCAACCACCACGTGCACCGCATGGCGCTGGAGATGCGCCGCGAGGTGCTGGAGCAGATGCAGATGCTGGGCGAGGCCCTGCTCCGCTCGGAGCACCGCAGGTAGCGGGGCGCCGCGGGGCCGGGCAGCGGGCCGCGCTCGGCGTCGGGGCGGGCCGAGAGGCGGGGCGCGGGGCCGGGCGCCGCTCGTCATTGGTTAAGGCGCCACGGGGAACGGCGCTCATTGGCTGGCGCTCACGCGGCGGTCGTGAATCGAGCTGCCGGGCCTTGCGTGCCCCGGAAGTGGAAGCGGCCGCCGGCAGCGCGCGAGCATGGCGCGCGAGAAGCAGGAGGAGCCGGCGGCGGAGGCCGCTCCCGAGTTCTCGTACCGGGAGCAGCTCGAGCACCTGAACCCCATCGCGCAGCCGCTCGCCTCTCGCAAGCTGACGCGCAAGCTCTACAAGTGTATCAGGAAAGGTGTGGTGGGTGCCGGGAACGGGGCGGGGGGCTGGCCGGGGCCGCGCAGCTCCTCACGCGGTGCCTCTCTCGCAGCGGCCAAGCACAAGCAGATCCGCCGGGGCGTGAAGGAGGTGCAGAAGTTCATCAACAAAGGCGAAAAGGGGTAAGCCATGCCCTCACCCTCCGGCACGGCGCGAGGCGGCCGCTGACACGGGTTTTTCCTGCAGGATCACGGTGCTGGCCGGCGACACGCTGCCCATCGACGTGTACTGCCATATCCCCATCATGTGCGAAGACAGGAATCTGCCCTACGCTTACGTCCCCTCCAAGTCGGTAAGGAGGAGCCCGTGCTGGTTGGCTGCAGCTGGGCTGCTCTGTGCCAGGGCTGTGCTGAGGAAGGAGGCATACGTGGGGTGCCCAGCAAAGCACCCTGTGCTTGAGCAGCGCCAGAGCATAAGGGGAGCAAACAGCCACAGTCCAGGTGTAGAGCTGTTTTGTGACAGGACCCCAGAACTGTTTGCCCCAGTGGAGCTCTCTGGGGCAGAGCCAGGACAGATGTCTTTTTTCTCCTTTAGTTCTGAACTGGGACCTGGATGCATGCAGAAAGGAAGCACTGACCAAGGTGTGGTTTTGGGAGATGTCCCTCCCTGCTCAGACCAAGGGTTAGAGGTGGTCACTGCCTTCTCTGCTCCGGGTGAGGAGTGGGACACAAGAGGCCGATGTCAGGCACTTATGGCACATGTCAGCCCTGCTGGGCAAAACTAGGAAATCTTCTTGGGCTGCATCAGCAGAAGAGTGGTATCAAGGCAAGGGAGGTGATTGTCCCCCTCTGCTCTGCCCTCATGAGGCATCACATGCTGCATCCAGGCCTGGGGCTCTCGGCACAAGAAGGGTTCTGAGCTGTTGGAGCTTTTCCAGAGGGGGGCCACAAAGATGTTCAGAGGGCTGAAGCACCTCTCCTACGAAAAAAGGTGGAGGGAGCTGGGCTTATTTCACTTGGAGAAGGCTCTGGGGTGGCCTTGTTGCAGTACTTGAAAGGAGTTTATAAGCAGGAGGGGGACCAACTTTTAACATGATTTAATAGTGATAGCACAAGGGGTAAAGGGAGACGTTAGGAAGAAATTCATCGCACAGAGGTTGGCGTGGCACCGGCACTGCTGCCCAGAGCTGTGGGTGCCCCATCCCTGGAGGTGCTCAGGACCACTTGGGATGGGGCCTTGCGTAGCCTGAGTTGGTGGGGGGCTGCCAGCACAGGGCAGGGGTTGGGACTGGGTCAGCTGTAAGGTCCTTTCCAATGCAACTGTTCTGAGTTGCCTGCTCTCAGGAGCTTGCAGGGCCACCTTCCCGTGTCCCTGCAGGGTGTCGGGCTCTGTCTGTGCGGGCTGCCCTCTACCCCCAGCCTTCTGCTCTCCTGCAGGACCTCGGGGCCGCGGCCGGCTCAAAGCGACCCACCTGCGTCATCCTGCTGAAGCCACACGAGGAGTACCAGGAGGCCTACGATGAGTGCCTGGGGGAGGTGGAATCCCTGCCGCTGCCCTTGTGACCTCCGGGGGCACCGTCTCTACGGTTGGGGGGGGGGGGGGGCGCTGATGGTGAATAAAGCTGTTGGGATGTTTGTAAGGCGGCGCCCGGTGCCCTTTGGGGTGGGGGTCCGCCGCGCGGAAGGGGGCGCCCGGCGTGAGGGGAGCGGGGCGGGGGGGCGGGGCCGGCTGCTGCACGGCGGAAGTTGGGGGCGGCTGTTGTTCCCCGCGGCGTCGCGCGCGCGTGGCTCGGGCCGCTGCTGGGGGCGGGAGGCGATGCCCGTCCCGACGGCGGGGCCCCGGAGCCGCCCCGCGGGGCTCGGCCTGTCCCTCGGGCCCCGGAGCCGCCGTGAGTCAACGCGGTGAGATGCCCGAACCGGTTGTGCCGCTCGCTCCGCGCCGCCTCCCTCCTTGCCGCGCCGGCTGAGCCGGGCGGGAGCTGCGGAGCGGGGGCGACCACAGGGAGCGGGGCCCGAAGCCCGGGCTGCAGAGCCGCGGCTTTCAAAGGAAGCAGAATTCGGAGGAACGAAATCTAGGTTTATTGCAGGAAAGGCCGAGGACGTTACAAGCGCGGCCCAGGGCTTCTTCCACGCCTCTCCCCGTGCCCTCGGAGGAGATACGGGGAGGCCCCATCCCTGTTCCCACCTCTCCCGTGGCGCTGCCTCCTCTCAGCCCCAGGACTCCGTGCTGGGGAGCTGCATTAACCACCCCTTATCCCACCAGCACCACGGCACGGAAAGGGCTCAGCTGCAGTGCTGGGGCAGCTCCCCCTCTCCCTGCACGCAGCTCCTCCAGGGCCTTCCCAGCAGCAGCAGCAGCACCACCTCGGCCAGACCCAGGGCACTGATTGCTCCCAGGACCCCGCTGGAACCCACAAAAGGGCCGTGGGGATGGGGACAGCGCTCGAGCCTCTCTCTAGCATGATATTAAGTTACAGGTTGAAGGGAAAAGGGGAACGGAGCAGGAGGGATGGGGAATGGCTCACAGGGCATTCGGTCTTACGCCCCCAATGGTAGAAGGGAGTGCAGGGCAAATGATCCTGGAGTCAGAGCACGGGGCACATGCAAGACCCCTGGTACAGATGATCTCCCCTCCAGCGACCACCCCTGATGGGCCCGAAGCACTGCAAGAAGGAAAAGTTCCCTTGTCGTGATCAGTCCTTCTTCCCAGGGCGGCAATGAGCGGCGAGTCCTTGTGCAGCCCCTGAGATCATCCACTGCAGCAGCAAGAGACCCCCCTTCGTGGTCCCACAGGCATCGTGCTGCTCAGATCTTCGAGGACTCCACCCGCTCAATCCATGGCGAGTCGGCCCCGACATCCCTGGGCTCCGAGCGCAGCTGCCGCAGCTCGCGCTCCAACACCTGGCTCCGGTGGTACATCTCCATGTAGCTGGCCTGGAGCTCCCGCTGGTACCGCAGCACCTTCTCCTTCTCCTCCTGCCAGGTTTTCCTCTCCAGCTCAAAGTTCACAGCCTGCAGCTGGCCCTGGCGCCGCTCCCGTAGCAACTCTGCCCACAGCCACTCCACCTGCCGCTCCAGGGGCTCCGCTGAGTCGCTGTGGAGGCCCCGGCACTTGGAGTCATCCGTTTCACAGCCAGGGAAGTCCTGGCATGCCGGCATGGGGTCATCGCCCAGCGGCAGCGAGGCGCCAGGCTCCGGGGGGCTCTGGAGGGAATCAGCCAGTTGTGCCAGCTGGGAGTCCCTGGCCTGGACCTCCGCCTTGGCCTCCCGCAGCTGCGTCTTCAGGCTGAAGATCTCACCCAGCTTCTGAGCCATCTCCTCCTGGGTATCTCGGAGCTGCTGCTTCAGCAGGGAGATTTCTGCTGCCTTCTGACACACCTGCAAGGCACAGTGAACAGTGAGGAAGCAGCGGGATCTCAGGGGTGGCAGCACCCCCGACTGTCAACACAGCGTCACTGGGAGAGCGTGAGAATCATGCCTGGCTCTTCCCCCCCATCCACAAGTCCACAAGTGACAGAGCAGAGAACCACTGCCCCATCCTGGCTGCACAGCCTGAAGGGTGGCAACAGAGAGGGATAGCAGGGGACTCACCTCCCACTTGGTCTCCTCCAGTTTGGGGCTGACACGCTCACCCTGGGACTGCCGGAGCTTGGTCTCCTCGCACTGGCACTGCTGCATGCTCAGCTCCTCCTGCAGCCGCTTCTTCTCTTGCTGTGCCTTGTAGAGCTGCAGCTGCAGCGCCCGCTGGCCGCGCTGTGCCTGCTGTGTGACCTGCTGCAGCCTGGCCATGTACATCTGCTTCAGGTCCTCCAGCTCGTCCAGCCACAGCCGCTGCTTGTCCTCAAATGCCTGCCGGCACAGAGAGACACTGGTGAGGGTCCACATCCTGCCCCTGTGTGGGACAGTACCTGGAAGGATCCCAGGAGATCCTGCTGCCAGGACATCCCCAGCTAGGCCCAAGGAACAGAGCTTCAGTAGGAGGTTCCCAGCCTGATTTTGCAGATGCTGCTGCCCCACAGGCCGTGACAGTGAGTTCTCCCATGTTTGGGCGCCCACCAGCCATCATGGCAGGGCACCAGGCCCTTCACAGCTCCTTCCATCCAGACACCACCTCCCCACAGCAGCCAGCCCCACTTCTCACCTGCGCAAAGGGGTCCTCGGTCTCACTGAGGCTCCTCTTGAGCTGCCGCAGCTCTCCCCCAGTCTCCTTCAGCCGATCTTCCAGCTGCTTCACCGCATCCTCCAGGGAGTAGGTGAACTCATAGGGCGGTGGGGGCTCCCCAGGGCTCTGCAGCCGGCTCAGCGTGGCCATGCTCTTGCAGGACAAGGGCGCCTTTTCAGGAGCCAGGGGGTCCCTGGGGCTCCGGGACACCCTGTCCAGAGAACCTCCAATGTGGTTGATGTGGCCCATGGAGGCACTGAACTGGCTCTGGGCAGGCTTGAGGCGGGAGCCATAGGAGGGGAAGCTCTGGATGGAGTTGTGGCTGGAGTCAGAGGCTTCATCCAGGCTGATGGCGTGGAGCAGGTGGGTGCGGAGCGGGCCATGCTGTGGGGCCGCCGTGGTGCTCTGCGACAGCAGCGTGTGC